TGAAACACTTTTTCTTTGTATATCTTCCAGAAGAGCTCCACCAACTCAGATCGAGGCTTCTGAGAAATGAGCTGCCAATGTAAGTCCCTTGGCTGACCTCAGCGCTTCGCTGGTAATGTTGCTTTTAAATTAATTAAACTGACTGAAAGTTATAATTGAGTACACAAACACTCGTGCATGCACAGAGTGATAACCTTGTACCCCAAACCTATCCCTCACTTCACCTCACTACCCATCAGGGACAGAGTTTGCCGCTGACATACACTAATTTATTAGCAGCTAATTGCTATCCCTTGCAGACATTCTGGTGGGACATCAAAGGATGACACTCCTCAGGAGAAACGATTGAAATTCAAATTTCAAACAATACCCTTTCCCTCTGTATGGTGCTACGGACTCGCCGCCTTTGGTTTTAGTTTGTCATCCCAAGTGCATGGAAGGCTTAAGGCTCTATCAATAATGGATGAGGATTTGAGACTTTACAGTGGGTTTTCCAGGAGATTCGGTGCTTCCATTTAAAGCCCTGCAAGACTGGCACTCTGTATACCTGGAAACTGCTGTTGTCGCTTTGAAGCAGTTCTTGAGGCAGTATAGTCGCTCAGTGCTGCTTACAGAAAAAGATAAGAAGCTGTAACTTTCAGAGAAGCACTGCAGCTGTACACATGGGATTTTAGGTTGAAGTTTATGCTACGGTCTTTCATAGTGCATTCACTTCTAAAAGCATGCTGTAGCAAGCTGAGGCCCACACAACAAAAGCACTGCAAAAACGTCCCATTTGTATCATATTATGACCCGGTGTGAAATGCAGCCTGTTTTCTGTTCTTAGCTGACAGGAGTGGCACCCAGTGTGGTCTTTTGTTTCAAGGTTTGACTCAAGACTAGATAACAAAGACACTGCAAAAGCATTGCGTTTGTGTCATATTGTCCTGTAAACATTGTAATGATTGATTTTGTGTGGACAGCTTGGGGCAGTTCAAAAATCTGTTGACTATCTGGTATTATTTAATGGCGATCATATAGTATGTTTCCCACTTATAAACTATGAGAATTAGCAGACACATCATTTGCATTTTGTTTACTAGGCAATTATAAAATCAGCTTTCAGCCTTTACGCTTTGTTTCTTCGCTAACTCTGGAGGGATAAGCTAAGTCATTAGTAGCTAAATGCTTTATATGCTAGTCAATGACTTTGTGTTAATGGTGGTAAATATTCAGCTTTTTGGGGGCACATTTACTGTAACCGCGGCTAGAAATTCAACTACTGAAGACCGTGAGTAATAAGCTTAGGCCCTAGAGACTGTTCGACGACCTCCTGTGTATTTCCTGAATGGTTGGCGAGGAGTTGTTGGAGGCTGCTGGCTGTCGCTGAGTGAAATGGGTAGCAGAGAGAATTCTACACCAAAAACTTCTTTGTGATTACTTTAGGGGCTAGCGGATTGCCAAGGTCTCCCTTTGTTTACATGAAAGATGTTGGCTTATGTACAAACATTTGCTAATTAAACACCAAGCTATAATGAACCACCATCTCAAAGATGACCAATTTCACCTAGCGATTTCCAGCAACCTCCCATCAAAGTCTATCAGGGAATACACATTTTTCCTAGCAACCGGTATTTACCAGTATGTCTCTAACTGATCTCTAGCCCTATGTGGTTGGGGCTTTAGCCGTGTACCTGCCAGCAGCCACTCACAGCTAATCTGGGAACACAAATCTTTCCCTACCAAGCCAGGGTGGCTAGCATTAGCATCAATCATTAAAACAGACAGTTGTGTCTGTTTTAATAGGTAACTGCTTATGGACCCTACAGAGATGGCTTTCAACCCATGCAAACATTCCCATGCAGAGCTTCAGAAAGCCAACACCGCCTAGCTCAACTCTGTGTGGGTCAGATGTCGATTGATTGACAAGTGGGCTAAAACAGGAAAGAGAGTGACAGTAATAGAAGAACAAACAATAACAAAAATCAGTGATTATAAAAATAAAAAAGCACACAGTAGCTACAGTGGACATTTTTCATTGTTTTTAACACTTGGTTTCACTTCAGCTCTTTGTATTTTGTAACTTTGCTCCTCTGTGGAGTTGGCTGGAGGATCAGCACCACATCCTTTCGATACTTCCTCTTTTTGGCAACAGGCGTTCCCTGCTGTCTGCCGATGCAGTGCCAACAGAGAACTATGTTGAACCCATAAAACACTCTGTAGAACTGAAGCCCTCAAAGGTGGATAATAATATTTTCTCACTAGGATTGCAAGTCAGCAGCCTCTCATGTGTCCGTGCCAGGATGTTGTAAACCAGCAAGGTGGAAAAGTGAGTTACATTTTAGACGTCTCATAAAAACAGCACAGTTGGGCATTCATTCATTCATTTATTAGGGTCACATTCATTGCAAACATGTTAGTTGATGTAAAACTGCAGAGAAGGTTAGCCACACTCACCAAACATTGTGTAAATTCAATATTATGTGTGTTGCACAGTGTTTGAAATATTGATGGCGTTTAAAATTAGATGATTTTAATTAGATTCAAACTGTATTTTTGACCTTGTCCATTACATCCTGATTGTTTCTTGCGTGCTTTCCTCTTCTTACATAAGTCAGTTTATTTGGGTTTTTGCCACATTTAATCAACTAAGAAATTCAACCTAAGGAACATTTCTCATTATTCTAGAAATGTCTATAATTTGAAGGGTTTTTCTCATTCTTATTTTTGGTTAAATAAATTCAATTATCTGCCTATTTAAGCTTGTTGACTCTCCGGGAAACAGCTTGCCCTATTTTTCTACCAGTTTATTTCCTTATATAT